CCGTGCTGCCGGGGCCGGGATGGGGGGCCGAGGGTGCCGGTTTGGAGCTGTCGGGATGGGGGGGGGGAGGGTTAGGGGGTGTGGGGGGGGCCGCCGGCCGCCCCTCAGTCATCCACGTCGATCTCCACGTCCTCCTCCTCCTCCTCCTCCTCCTCCTCGCTGTCCCGGCGGCTGCGGGGCCGCTCCGTGGGGGGCGAGGCGGGGCGGGGCGGTGGCGGGGCACCGGGCTCCCGGGCGGCGGCGGGGGGCGGCGGCGGGGACCCGGGCCGCGCCTTGCCCCTTCCCTCGGCGCTGGGCTCCAGCTCAGCCAAGGCCACGATGTCCACGGCGGGGTTAGGGCCCAGCTTTTTGGCCGATTCCACGTCGGCCTTCATCTCCTCCAGGTCTCTCTTGAGCTTGGCGCGGCGGTTCTGGAACCAGGTGATGACCTGGGCGTTGGTGAGCCCCAGCTGCTGGGCGATCTGGTCCCGGTCTGCCGGCGACAGGTATTTTTGGTAGAGGAACCGCTTCTCCAGCTCGTAGATCTGATGGTTGGTGAAGGCCGTCCGCGACTTCCGACGCTTCTTCGGCGTTTGCCGCTGCCCGAAGATCGTCATCCCGTCCCGGCCTGCCGACGAGCCGCCAGATTGTACCCGCTTTCCACATGTCCACCCCGACCCGAGCCCCCGGCCCCCACACCCCTGCCCCGTCGGTATCTGGAGGGAGTGGGGCAGAGCAGCCGCTCCTGCACCCCGAGGGCCACGGGGCGAGGATGCCGCCGGGTACCGGCCGCCAAGGGACCCCCCTCATCCCATCCCATGCGACACCCCGGGAGCTGGTGGGGGGGTGGGGAAGGTGAGAAGGAAAACCAGGCCGTGGGGAGGAGCGGGGCACCCACCCGCTGGAGGATCCCCCCACTCCAAGGGGGTCTTACCTTCGGCCGCCTGCAGCACGCTGACTTCCAGCCCTTTGAAGGTCTTGCTGGCCAGCTCTTCCAGGGCGCAGAGGGGCGAGGTCTGGGAAAGCAGCGCCCGGCCGGAGAGGGGCAGCCCGGCCGGGGGGTGCTTCTCCGCAGCGGACAGGAGGTGTGCCGTTCCGCAGAGGGTGTAACTCCTCCGCACCGAGGGCTTGTTGAGGATGTCCTCGATGCTGAAGGGGGTGAGGGGCTTGTTGGAGTTGGCCGGCGGTGGGAGGTGATCCAAGGGGCTCCGCCGCCGTTCTTCCCCCGAGGAGGGCTTGGGTTCTTCTTTGGAAGTCATGGTGGGGCCGGGCCGCGCGGGGCTGCCTTCCCCACCCGCGACGGGGATGCGCTGCCGCGGGCAGAAGTCCCCGGCGGGACCGCGGGGTGACGGCGGCGAAGACAGCGAGCAAAAGTTGAAGCCCACCTCCAACTCCGGCGGAGGAGCCCCGGGTCCTCCCGGGGAGAGCCACGTCGGGCGGCGGGCCGGGCGGGCCGGGCGGCGGGCGGGCGGGCGCGGAGAGGAGCAGAGCTGCCGTCGGTCCCTCGTCGAGAGGTGGTCCTGCCGTACCTCTTGTCCCAGGGTTTTGGGTCGGAGATTTTTCCCCCCCTCTCTCCCTTCACTCTCTCTCTCTCTCTCTCTCTCTCTCTCCCCTCTCTCTTTCTCTTCCTTGCTGCTATTTTAAGAAACACCCCAAATCACAGCACTTTCCCTGCCCCCCCCCCCCGCGAATACCCACCCCAAAGTAATATTTAAAAAAAAAAAAAAAAAAAAAAAGAAGAAAAAGAAAAAGCAGACTTCGGCGAGGGGGAGAGCAGCCCTCGCACCGAGACCTCGGACCAGGGGGAAAGAAGCAAGAAGAGATGGGGTAATTGACTATTGCTAACAAGTTATTGTTGATTGGGAGGTAATCAATTATCTTCAATGACACTTTTCGCCCTCTCTCTCTCTCTCTCTCTCCCTCTCTCTCTCTCTCTCTCTCTGTCCAATGCAGGCTTTTGCAAGTTCGGAGACCCATTAATTAGGAGGCGGTATGGAGGTGGAGCCCAGTTGAATTATAATGCTGAATGCACTTGTCATATTCTGGCCCTGCTATTTGTTTGGACATATATATTTTTAAATTACATTACAAACCAACCTTTATTGCATCAGGATAATACAGTATAGTGAAAAATAATAAGGGAAAACAAACCAAAACGAAAAATATCCGGCTGTATATATTTTTTTCTTCCCCCCGAGATTTTTTTGTTTGGTTTTTTTTCTTCCATTTCTTCATCCTTTTAATTTCGGCTACCAGGTTATTTAAAATGTCTCTCTCCGGCTCTACGCAGAGCCGTTTGATTTTTTATTTTTTATTTATTTATTTTTTTAAATGAGGGGAAGAAGGGGAGAGCCTGGTTCCAGGTAAGGCAGACCTTTCCTTTCCAATAAAATCCGAAGGTTTCCGCCGAATTTGTCGTGCTCCTCTTTCCCAGCGCCCTGTGTTTTAGCGGGCTGCGGGGTCCGGGGCGGGAGCAGGCCCCTCTGGGAGGGTGCCGGTGCCGAGAGTGCCCGCGGAGGGGTTGTGCGGCGGGTCGCGGGCCGTGTTCGTTCCCGGGACGTCGGCGGCTTCTTGGGCTCCGTTGGCGCCGGGGATGGCGGGTAGTCCTGGCCGGGGGCAGCGCGGGGGGAAAGGGCCGGGCAGGGCCGGTTTCCAGTCCGAGGCCTTTTGCTGCGAGCCCATGGGCGGCTCTGGAGAGGGGCAGCGGCGTGGGGCTTGCTGTGCCCCCCACTCCCGGGGGAACCCGGCCCGGCGCGGCAGGGGCAGACCCGCTCCTCAGTATTTTCACCCGGGCCACCATCCCGCCTGTGCCTCGCCGTTCCACAGGGACGGAGACAAAGCCCAGAGCTGGGAGTGAGCAGCCTGGCCCCCACCTCAGGCGTGAGTACCCCTCGGTCCCCGTGGGGCGGCCGGGACGCGACCCGCGGGCCGGGCCGGGGCTGGACGGGGCGGGCGGTGGCTGGAGGGGCGGTGGAGCGGGAGGAGAGGCTGGGGCCGGATCCGGCCACAACTTTCCCTCCTCACCTTGAGGGCCAGGAGGAGGACGGCTGGCAGCTCTCAGGCCGCTAGGTACCAAACAAGCACAAAAGAAGCAAATGGCTCCTCTCCTTAAAGCGCCCTCTTCCCATTTTTTATAGCTCTCTGGGAGTCTCTTTATGCAGTGACCTATTTTTAAAGGCCTATATTGGGTTATTCATCATATCAAATACTGCGAGGAACTGGGGGGGGTAGTCGGTTGAGGGGGGAGCGAATTACACTGATTCTAAATCGCCTAGCTTCTTTGCTTTGCTAGGTGGATTATTTGCTTCGCTTTGCTTGGGTTTTATGAATTGATTTAAACATATTTTAACCAATTAGAGACTTTCCTCCTCTCCCTTGTGTCCCCTCACATTGTTTTCTAGCGTGGCGTTTTATGTCAGGATTCGGATTTTATTGAGAACTCGGACGGGAATGTTGGTGTTGTAACTACAGAAATAAGACTTTAAAAAATAAAAAAGGGGGGAAACCGCAAGAAAAAGAGTCTCATTCCTGGATGCGGGTTTGGGTGGGCTGGACGGCGTATGGGATGCTCCGAGGCCCTGCCAGTTAGCGGCTGCAGCTTTCCCCGCGGAGCGCAGACCCGGGGCACAACTTGCGCCCCCATCTCGAGTGCAGCCCGTTCAACTCAGGGCACGGGCAAAAGTGCGCCAGACACAGCGAAACCCTGAAAATCGTTTTCAATCTCCTGTTGTCCCTCCAGCCCGCATCTCCCCTCTTTGCCTACGCGGCAAATGCCCCCTGTTTTTGTTTTTATTTTTTGGCTCCCTAATAGGGGCAGAGCCCAGCCGAAGGCGGACAGCAGCCTCAGTACAGACTCCGGCACAGAGGGACTCCTCTTCGTTTGCCTCGGCCGCTGCCTGTCAGGGGATAGCCGGGTTCATGCCTTGCATGAGCTCAGCCCGATGGCTCCAGGCCTGACGCTTGCCCTTGTACCCAGCGTCCCCCCCGGACAGCACCTCCCTGAGAAAAGGGGTGGCTGAGAGGGAAGGGAGCAGGTCCCGGCCCTCCTTCCCCCGAGCCCCACGGCGCTCAGTGGCCGTCCCGACGGCCTCCGACCGACTCCCCTCTCCTCTGTGCTCTCGGCTGCCCGGTGGCGCCTTTGGCGGATTTGGGTTCGTTTTCCCCGCGCTCACTTTGCCTTTGCAACCACTGCATCTCGCTCTTTGCAAACGACTCCCTCTCTGCGCTCCGGGGTGGTCGAAAATCAGAGGAGGGGCAACCTGGGCTGCCCCTACCCTGGCTTAGCGGGAGAGCTCAGCATCCCCCCTCTCACCCCTTGGAATTTAATTATTTTAATTTTCTTTTCGGCAGCCCTCTTGGTACTCAACCCCGAATTAGAGACTGTCAGTGCACCCCCCCCCCCAGCATGTCCCATTGCACCTCCCTGTCCTCAGAGGGCCGCGGGGAGCAAGGGGGCACAGAGGACAGCCGGGGGCCTGGTCTAGCCACCGCCACGGAGCTTCGCATCCTGCCGGGCTCTTCTGCCCGGCCCGCCGGAAGGCAGCTGGTAGTCGTGCGTCCCAGCTTTGAGGTCGTTTGGGGAAAAGCACCCTCATCCGATGCTCTCCAATCTCCCCATTTCTGCCTGCTTCAACCGCTCTGAGTGGGACCTGTCACTGACCTATTCCTGGTGCAGGTACGAGAAGTTTGAGTGGGGTCCCCGGCCGAGAGGCAGGGAGGCGAGCAGGGCTGGAAGGAACAGCGGCCCTTGGGTGTACCCGGGGATGGATGACGGAGTCCCCTGAGACCGTCGGGGAAGCGTCCCTCCTGATCCCTGCCTTCTTCTGTGGAAGAAAAGCCAGTAAAGCTGCGGCCCTTCCTCCTCCACGGAGCAGAAAACTGCCGCTGAATCCGAAACTATTTGTGAGTGGGCAAACAACAACAAAAAAAATGATCTGTGACTATGGATAGCATCTTTGGAGGCGTCTCCCCTCGCCGTCCTCAGAGCCGTATTTCGGGGGGTCGGCTTGCATGCCCTCCCCGGAACAGTCCCAGGCCCGGCGGCCAGCAGCAGGGCACTCCCGGGGCTGCTCGGCTCTGGCTGTGCGCGGCCCGCTCCTGTCCAGGAAAATGTCACAGGAATATAATTAAAGCAGGCGGCATATATCATTCAAGTGTTGATCACCAAAGTAACTGCGTACAAATGACACCTCCTTTCCCGGCATAGCTGAGCCGTGCATGGCTCCCAGCTATGTCTGCCTAGTTTAAGTGGTCTAAACACGTTACTGCTCCCTGTTAGCAGCGTGGAGAGGAGCAAAACTCTGTGCCCTCGAGGTGACAGCTAGTCCTGGCACAGCATCTCGCAAAAGCCAGGAGGGACAGCCGGGAACCTAGGAAATAACAGTTATTTTTGTCTTTAAGCAACCCCCACCCAAGTTTTGGGCTCCGGGTGCCGAGAGGCGGAGAGTGCCCAGTGGGACCCGCCGTGAAGCCCGGAGGAGGGAGAGCCACGGCGGGATCCGAGGTCCCTGTCCTAGTCTTCTCTACCGAAACTGCTGTAAAATGTACCTACAGGTACCCCTTGACCCCGCCGCCGCCGGGCGCTGCTCCGCGTTGCTCCCCTTGGAAAACAACCACCCCGAGCTGGGGGCCCGCCGGCTCCCATCTGTGATGGAGAGGGGGCGCTGGAAGACGGGGGGGCACTGCGGAGCCGGAAAGAAGCTCCCCTACCGAGCCCATCTCTGGAGGTCGTTGTATAGCTATTGCCCGATCCTTCCTCCCCTCGCAACCACCTCCCTGCGGGGGAAAAAACTTCGCTGCACCAAAAATAAATGTGACCCGAGTGCCCGCATCTGGCCTGGGAGCCAGGGCCAGGGCCAGCGCGCCCGACCCGGCTCGGCTGGAGTGCACCGGCCCCGCGAAGCCCCGGCCTTTCCCCGGCAGAGAGAGGCGGAGAAGCCTCAGTTCCTTCGGAGGGCTTCGGCGTGGGGACGGGACCTGCGCGGGGCCGACCAGGGACGAAACCCGTTGCCCCAGGAACTCGACTAGAAGCGGGATGCGGGGAGCAGCCCTACCCGGGCGGGCTGGCAGCGCGGTGCCCGGCTCCCCGACGTTCCTAGGGGATTTTTCGTTTGCAAACGAACTCCCCGGGCGACTGAGCGGAGCCGAGACCAGCGGAGCTACAGGGATCGTCCACCTTTTGCCCACCCCTGGGGCCGATTTGTTTCCCCCCACAAAGCCCCCGCATAGAGTAGCTGGCACGGCGGTGCTCGCACCGCTC